CTCCTTAGCCCCTCCCCCACCCAGAGCGCGGGAGATCTCAGATAACTTGGACCAGTGAGTGAGGGCGGCAGCCGCGCTCCCGGCGATCCCAGACGCGTACGCGCACGTCCAGCGCCCCAGGCGTTTGCACCTGATGCTAGCACAAAGGGCTCTGCCGCGCGCGGCTGCGGCGGGCCTTGCGGAGTGTCCAGGCTGGCGACCTGCACTCCGCGACTGGCTTGACCAGCTGACGCCCTTCCTCCGCGCGCAGAGGTCGAGACTCCAGGATCTCTACATTGTCCGCGCTCTCCACACGGGTGCCATCTGGCGGCCTCCCAGGAGGAAGGAGCCGGCCTCGGGCTCATCCAGAGCTCTGAACCCTGTAATCAGAAGATCTGGGGAAAAGAACTTCTGTTCCGCTTCTTTGTGCTAAGGGCATGTGGGGCTGGGGGCGACGATGAGCAAGACGTGGTCCTAGCCCTGGACTGAGGAAGCTCACAGCCCAGTTGGGAGACGGAACATGGGAGCATTACAGGACCACACACGATTAACCGAGCGCTGGTGTACAGACTCCAGGAAATCAATATGGGGGTATCAGAAGGATAGGTGGAGGGGCAGGTCCCCAGACCCCAGCTGGATGGAGCTGCTTAGGATCAGTGCCTTGAGGAACGGCCTGGCCAAGAGCCGCGGGTGCCAAGGCTGGCTGAGGACAAGTGGGAAGTAAGGATGAACAGAGAGAGGTGAGGGCTGAGGAGGGTCTTGGGAATCAGGAGTTAATGAGGGGCCCTCAAATTTCAGTGGGATGATTTCCAGGTTCCTGAGTGGTGACACACTCCTCGTCAGCTTCTCACCTGATCCCTGTGAGGTAAACAGGACCCATATTGTTACATGTAAACATGGAGAAACAGATTTCAAAACCATGAAATGGCAAAATGTACATGGTCAGCAAGTGGCAGAGCTGGGCCTCGTCCAGACATCACCCTGCCTCTCTCCTAATGCGGTCAGTGGAAAGAAACTATTGCAGACTCTTTGCTGGGGAGCATCCTGATGGGGCGGGGATGGGGTGGAATAGGAAGCTCACTCTAGCCAACCCTTGGGGAATGGGACAGTGGGGGAGAGGAGCACCTGGGATCCCTTTCATGCCGTTTCCACAGTGGTCAGCCTGTTGTAGAGCACTGTCATAAAGCCCCATCCTTCATTCATGCCGAGGACTTTATTCTGGAGGAGGTGGGACAATTCATAAAGCAGGGATATGCTACGACCAGATCTGTGACGTAGAAAGAGAACTCAGGAGGCAGGCTGGATCTGGGATGGGAGGTAGGGAAGACCCTGGAAGAGGCCACAGCGGTGCTCCGGGAGAGAGATGAGGAACGAGCCTGAACCAAGAGAGAACTTCAGAGGGCTGGAGCCCACAGCAAGCACTGCCCCGCCCCATGGCGTTATTCCTACTCTATTATTTATCTCACTGCTTGGATGGACTGATGAGACTGTTCCCTTAGAGAAAATCCCATAGTCACTTAGAAAAAGGGTAGTCTCAGAAAGGGACAAAGTTCCCACGGGTTCCTCCTGCCCCACAGACTCCTCCACTCCCTCCAGCAGCACCAAGAATTGCCAGCTTCTTGGAGACCTTTTGCCATCACTGCACTTTAGCAGAGGAAAAAGAGAGCAGCCTGGAGGCTTAGAGGCCACCTCTTCTCAACCAGCCAAATGAGTGAAAGGCTGGGCAGAGTGGGAAGACAGGGCCTGGAGGGTGGAGCCTGTGCCACCAGTTTCCACACCGAGGGGGTTTTCCATCTTACCCTCACGAGGAGTCTCTGATGTCAGCTGACGGACTGGTGACTTGCAGAGTCATGAATGTGCAGAGACTGGTGAATCGGGGAGAGGCGGAGGGAAAGTGAAGGACACCTAAAGAGAGAATATGACACTGACACAGAGCACCTCCTAGTCAGAGTATCTTTCACAGTCCATTTATTGTTGAATTTTGTGAATGAGTCATCGACCCTGTCTGGCTCTACTTCTGGCTCCCATTCATTTCCCTGACCATTACAGTCTTCCCCAATTCTGATAGGTTAGGGTGTGCAAAGGACTCTCAAATAGTGGACAAGGCCTGGTACAGAGTAAGGATTCAGTAGATGGTTGTTCTTATCCTTATCCTCCATCTGATCTCACCCCCTCACATAAAGGCCAAACACAGGTATTCTTACTCCATTTTTGCTGATGAGAAAGCAAATGGTTGGGGAGATAACAGGTCCAGCCCTCAACCAGCACAAAACAGACCGAGTTCTAGAATGCAAACCCCAGATTCAGCTCTCATCGAGCCTTTTAGAACCCTCTCTGAAAGGTCACTAGCAAGTCCAATCGCCCCTTCTCAGGCCTCTTAGAGGCGTCTTGCAAGCCAGCATCCGTTTCCCCGTGCAATGCCACGTCCCCTTGGTTCGTTGACAGTACACAATATGATTCTAGTGCGGGGCCACCGCTTTTGTGTCTCCTCCGTTTGTTCCTCCTCTTCCTCCTTCCCCTTGGATCTTGGCCCTTGGATCACTCATCGCTTTCTCATTTAGGGACCACACTTGAGATGACTCTGCATCTCGAATCTACATCCACTCACCTCCTATTCATACGAAGCTGAATATCCCGCTAGCACCTCAAACTCGACGTCACCTCCCTGAGTCAAGGGACAGGTCTCAGCAAATGGGTTCTCTGGGTCTATCCAGGTGTAACCTTCGCTGTTTTGGGTGCAAAACCAAATTTGTCATCTTCTCCTTCCAAAATTCAGCACTTCCTGTGAACTTCTTTATTTCTATTAAGGGTACCACTCTTCAGACTTTCAGAACGTCTTTTACTTCTCTCTCGTTGTCTCCCACCCTCGCAAAAAGGTTGCGTTTTTCATCTGCTCTTTCTACTCCATGGCGGTCACTACTGCCCCGAGGGTCCTAACACTCAGCCATCGCAGATACTGCTGTGAGGTCATTTTGCTGAGTCCAGCTCTTACCGGGACTTATCCCGTGTTGCGAAGACGGTTTGGAAGAAGAGTGGGAGTCTAGAAATGTTTAACTTACGTGGATAAGGGAGAGGAGGATTGGCAATGCTAGCATCCCCAACCCCTGTCTCCGTGGCCTTTTATTAAGTTTCACGACAATGCTAGCTTTGTAATTTAGTAATAGGTGCTAAATTACAAAGGTTCGTAGATACAAGCTACAGAGTCAGCCTCAAAGCCACCTCCGTGTTCTCGGCTATTTCCTCTCAGGCATCTTTTTCTTATCCTCTTATGTATCTTTTTCTAGTCCCCAGAGCAAGAAGTCTCGGAATCGGTCAGACGTATGCGCCCACCCTGCAATGTGTCCTTATGTGCGAGTCCACATTTGCTTCCATTGTTCTTGTTGCTCCAAGCACCAGACATCCTGCCAGGACCGCAAGCATCTCTTACAACATCCTGCCCATCGTTTGTCATAACCTAGTGAATTAAGCAGGGATGGGGTGAGGAGGGAAAGCACGTAAATATTAATAATGTTCCCCGAAGACATTGGTCTTGCCCGTAGCTCCAAACTAAATGGTTAAAAATACATAGGCTGTCATCAGAGAGAATGCTGGGTGCGGGAGTTACTTTATTTTCGTACAAAATTATGGTAGGAACATTCCATGAGGTTCTGATCATGAAGTCGGCTAATAACTAAGGAGATGGATATCTTACTGCGAAAGGGCGCTTCTATGAATCTGCAGAATGAAAGAGGAGGAAGGAATAATGAAGGATGAGCTAAGGGGAAATCGGACTTGCTCACTAAATCCTAAGAGCCTCCTTGAGATCTGAAGAGAGGAACTGACGTGACGATCCATACAAAAAGAAAGCTGACGATCCCGTGGGGAACCAATGTAAGGAAGAACGGCCGATGCCTGCTCTAGGATACTTGGGGAACCCGGGCTGGAGGGATGCGTCTAATCTTTGCTTCTCACATCAGATAAGATCGTTGTGCCCTTTTACAATGTGTCTCTCTGTGTCCCTGTGAGGGAAGGGCAGTGGCACGATGGGTCATGAGCTAGACCCCAGAGAATATGGGTATTAGAAAGCCTGGATTCTAGTCCCCAGTTGGCTGTGCGAACTTCCTTGACCAGGTCATTTTATTTCTCTGGACCTCAGCCTCCTCATCTGTGGAGATAATACCTACCTTCCAGTGTTACAAAGATAAAGTCAGACAAATACGATAAAAACCAAAAACTCTTGACAGTTGATGAATATACCCAATATAAGGGATTTATTATTATTGCCGTTGTTACTGTTATTGTGCCAGTAGTGTCAGGTCTTTGGTGCCACTGTTAATATTTTTCTTTTTTCTTTTTTGGCCATCAGCATTGATAATTAACATTTCTTGAGCATTTACTATGCACTAAGCACCGTGTTAAATCTTTTAAATCCATTTTGACAGTGACCAAGACGAATACGTGTGACAGGATGTGATCCAACACTATAAAACATATGAAAGCATCATGTGATGCTTATGGAATCTAAGGGCTAAAAGGAGTCTCAGAACTTGGACTGAAGTTTCCTCCTGCCCTCGCCCTTGGTTGTGTCTGGGGCCTCTCCTCTTACCTTGGAGACACCCAGGGTTAGGAGGCTCCGATGCACTTGGGGTAGGGGCTTGTGAGGCCTCAGCTGGCTAATCTCCAGCCCGCCACCCC